TCCCCGCTCATGAAAATCAGAGAAGGATTTGCCACCATGCGACTAGTTTGATACCAAGAAGGTGGTAGAACCTGGTATTGGTTTACTTTCAGCTGGACTTCCTGATGAAAACGCTTGACTCCTTAGCCTGGTAGCACCTGCTGCGGAGACGAATCTCCCGCAGTACATCGCAGTGCGATACCCAGAAACAAGTCCCACCCACGATGTGCCGGTAAACCATTGGGAAGCTTAGTCTAGTCGGTATGGCTTTGATCTTCGCAACCCATCCCGCACTCGACATCCAAAATATACACATGGATAACGAGAAATAAATGAATCGGTCATATAATAAGCAGAACAAATAGCAAATTGATAAAAAAAAAACAGTGGATGGACCCCACGAGAATGCAAGAGTCTCGTAGAACTATTGAACCAAGTGATGGACGGATGTATTCGTTGCTAACTTCGACTATCTGCATTCGCACATGGAAGCGATTTTAGGAGCAATGAATGAGCCTTGCCAATGCCACCATGATCGAAACGTAACGCCAACAACGATTGTGCGAGAAAGAAATGAATGGAAAATATGCCGTACCCCATATTAGCAATGAAGACGAGTCATTTCCTAGTCCAGCAATCGCGAGATTGTTAGACAGCATACATTTACTTCCATAGATAAACACGCAGTACAATACAACAGTAGCTGATGTTTCTTCGGCAGTGTCGCGTTCTTCAGACCCTGGAATGGTATAGTGATATACAATCTACTAGGCCAAACTCATCAATAACACATACAAACAGACGAAAAACTCTATGACAATTACATGATCAACAGTTTCTCGATTTCTCACCGCTTTTTTCGTGACTTCCAATGAGGAAGATTAGAACAGCTGATTGCAGTCGCACATGGCTGATGACTGCACCTCCCCCACATCAGAAATTGGTGCGAACATATGGGGCCAGGTCGCGTGTGACCTCAAGGCATTCTTCCCTGCTATTCATTACAGAGATCTTGGCCTTTATCCAAAAAGCCTCAAGAAGTTTTCGCGCTGGTGTTCTAGTATCCTGTGCAAGGATATTGACTTTTAACTTCAAAATCGTCTCCGCTATGCTTTTGTATCCTACGCGTGCCAAGTGAGGTACTTTGTCTTAGTTTTCGTTCGCCATCTAGGTGTTCTTTTACGCGGATACATAAAGGTCTGCCTGTTTCGCCAAAATATTCGTCTCCGCAACTATTACAAGAGATCAGACATATCGTACTTGAACTCATGCAACCACCGTCCCTGTCGTAGGGGCAAATTACGAGATTTGGTGTTTCACATAGATGATCATACAGGCGGTTACGAACGCATTCATATTCCAGTGCCGAGATTAATAGAAGGTCGATCCCGGGAACTGTTCCAAGATGGACCAGCAAAATACTTTCGACTTGTGAAGGAAGCGGTGTCACTAAGACAAAAGATTGTCTTAGGTAGACAACAAATCAACTTTCGCCGCCGCTGTTTTCAACATTTAGTCGTGCAGAAGTTCATAAAACGAAGGCGATTTCACCAGACATGCGGTCAACGAGAGGATTGCCAACATGTACAAGGCATCGAAATGGAACCACTTCGATCTGCACTACGAAGCAAGCAGAACGAGATCTTCGCCAGAATGAAAAGTTGTGCGACGAAAGAACACTTTTGTGCATTGCATTTAGAGGATCGCCTTTAGACGAGAATAGTAGGTGGGTCAATATTGATATGCGATTCTATTAGGTCTAGTGCTAAGATAACCTCACAACGAAAGTTCGAAAATCTTTCGAGTGATTCACAAATTTCAGCTTCAAGAGACAACCGCGACCAAATTCTTTACGCTTTTAACAATAGTCAAAATAGAGTTGATAATGCACCAAGAATATCTAGGATCACCGTGCTTGGAAACATGACCGTACCTCAGAACGCCCACTCACTACCAGGATTGGGTCCAAATTTTTCACCATCACAGCCGCCCGTTTCTAAAGCCACTGTGCGTGGGTTCGCATGCAGCTTGTATGAACTTCAAGGTCGACTCCTCTATGAGGCCAAAAAAGAAATATTAAATAGATATGGCGCTATTTCCACCATCTTCCATTCCCAGAGCGTACTTAAGAAAGCGGAGCTCCAACGTCGAAATTGATGCAAAGTTTCGCATGTTTTCGGACGATGTTCTCAAAAGCTTTGTCCACTATCGCGATAGAAAATATTTCTCTAACCTAACAGCCGCACAAAAATGTGGTATGCGAGAAATTAGAGAATTAATAAATTCGAAGACCACTAGACTATCAGTTAGTGATAAGGAGGGAGAGTTCGTAGTTACTTCTTAGCAGTTAAATGTTAGGATAACGGAGAGACATCTTGGTGATGTTAAACTTTATCGTCCGTTGTCTGAAAAGGAATACAAAAGACAATACCAGGGACTTAACAATGAATGGGTCACAGTAGCAAAGGTGGCGAGCTTAAACCACCTGTTACTTCGTATAAAGTAGAATGACCAACATGTCCCGTTTTATACTTACTTATCAAAACACGTAAGTTAGTATCAGCTGATAATTTCGCGTCTACCAATCCGTCATCATTTAAGGTTAGACCTACTATCAACTGTGTTGACGGGCCAACTTATAGAATAACATGGTTTCTAGGCCGAATACTTACCTAACCGCCAGGTCATATTCCAGCTCACCTCACGAACACCCAAATGTTCCTAGTACGTCTACTTAACGCGTCTCCTAATAACACGTACGTGATGGATTCCTTCGACGCTTCCGCGGTTTACACCACCGAATCACATGACACTGCAATGCAAGCCACCCACGAACTTGTCGAACCTGGAGGTGGAATACATATGCAAGGCTTGTCTATTCAGCAACTTATGGTTCACTTAAAGGAGTGCCCAAACTGCTCAATTTTCAGATGGTCTGGGAATTATTACGCGTAAATAAGAGGGCTGGCAATGGGACAGCGGTTGGCACCAACTCTCGCCATTGCATTCATGTCTAAAATAGAAGCCCCGTTATCGATCTCCGGACGCTACTTTACTGCAGGTATATAGATGATTGTTTTTTCAACTTCTCTACTCAGGAGGAGATGGACAAATGCTTTGAACTATTGAATGAGTAGCCTGAGTATACTAAATTCACCAAGGGGAAGCCGAAAGAGAGTTGGGTTCCATTTCTTAACGTTCAAACCAACTTATCAAATAGCGGTTATATTGACAAACTAGTACCGAAAATCAAGTAACATCTTGATTCATTTCCTCTCTTCCCGCCCTTACACACAAAAAGGACTCTTGTGAGAAACACGTTTAGAACAGCCACCTCTGTTTGCACACCTGGGCAACTAAAGGAAGAACAGCGCGACTTGGTTCGACAAATAACCATCTTCAGAGGCTACGAAACAGTAACCGCACGAGCTAAGTTCAGAGGAAGAGCGACTCGCCAAAACTAAACATTTGGCCAAAAAAAAGTCCCCGTTTATTTTGCTCTTTATTAGCGATGAAGTAGGCGTAACTATAAAACGACGAAATACAACCACAATATTGCTGAGATATTCGCAAAACTCCAGACCGCAGGTGTCTGCGGAGAGGGACGAACGCGCTATTGTCCTTTCCGGAGAGTAACGCGTTCACCTCCACATCATGCGGCTCTTTCGTTTCGCCTGTCTCTCAGCTAGTTCTATCGATCAGTGCAGTAAGCAATCACCCATCAACAGAATTGATCTGGGGAGACCACATCAGCATTGAACCCAGTTAAGCAGAGGCTGTAGATGAATTCACAATGTTTACTTTTTATTTTCCGCCTTCTATATTTAATAAAGGACAACAGCGCGTTCGTTCGCCACCATAGACACCTGCGGCCCGAAGCTTTGCAAATATCTCAGCAATATGTAGTAGAATTCCGCTTAATACCCTGCCATAAAAATTATAGAAGGCAGAAAATAAAAAGTAAACGTTATAAAACGACGCTTAAGAAGAACAGGTCTAGAGGAATCGGTAGCGATAGTTGAAATACCACCGGATACTCTACGTCGTCAGCTAGTTCTTACAGCCGGTATGACCGTCTATATGAAACACCAAAATGCGTAATTTGGCTTTAAGGCAGGGATGGTGATTGTATGTGTTCAAGTACGATATACCTGACCTCATGTAGTAGTTGCGGAGATGAATATATTGGCGAAACGGACAGACCTTTATGTATCCGCATAAAAGAACATCTAGATGGTAAACGAAAAGCAAGATAAAGTGTCCTACTAGGCACGCATAGGATACAAAAACAAACCGGAGACGATTTTGATGTAAAAGTCACTATACTCGCACAGGAGACTAAAACACCAACGCGCAAACTTCTTGAGGCTTTTTGGATAGATGCTAAGAACCTTGCAATGAATAGCAAGGAGGAATGCCCAAAGGTCATACGCGACCTGACCCCGTATGTTCGCATCAATTTCTGATGTAGGATGGTGCAGTCATCAACCATATGCGACTATAATCAGCTGTTCTAATCTTCCTCATTGGAAATCACGTAAAAAGCGGTGAGTTTTACCGAGGAGTTGTTGATCATGTAATTACCATAGAGTTTCTCGTCTTTTTGTATGTATTATTGAGGAGTCTGGCCTAGTAGATTGTATATCAGTATATCCTTCCAGGCTCTGAAGAAAGCAATACTACCGAAACGTCAGCTACTGTTGTATTGTGCTGCATGTTCATCTATGAAAATGTATGCTGCATAACAACCTCGCGATTGCTGGACAAGAAAACGACACATTCATATTCCAATGCCGAGGTTAATAAAAAGTAGATTCTGGGAACTGTTAGAAGACGAGTCATCCAACTATCTACCAGGTAACTATCTCACCATGATAAAATTCGCATTCTCTGCAGTCCAGTTTTTTTCGCCTTTTCCGGTCAAGGTTAGCCCCATTGTGGAACTATTGAAGTAGAGCAAAAAAGATGTACTTATCAAACACTGTATAAAAATACTATGCTTTCCACTATTTTTGAAATAGTCAATGAAAGCCTTTAAGATTGATTACCTGCGATCTGGTGATGGCATCACGTTCGTCGCCTGTTATCACATAGGTGCCAATGAAATAATCCTCGAAAATCACATCCGACACCTGGAATACTGTAAAATAATTGCACTGGAGATAATTTTCCTTTCGAATACACTCACCAATGCACGAAATAGTATCGCTCCCAAAAATGCGCCAAAGAGTTGCACAACGACGAAGGTAGCTGTGCTGACAACATCGAATCGTCTAGTGAGGAACAGAGAGATTGAGACAGCTGGATCCAGAAAGAACAACGCATTTTGGATAAGGACGTCAATTAGTCGATTAGACAATATGAGTTTCAATAAAGCCAAAAAATCCATCCACCTCAAAAAAAAGCCCACCGATTCGAATGAAATTAAGTTTGAACGCTAAAAAGCAGGAAGTACAAAGCACACATATGGGATTAAATGTTTGTGTTGTAAGCGACCTTTAATAATGTAGTGCAATTTCTATTTCAGCTGGTTTGCACCTTCGTTGGAGGTGACCTCCAATGAATGTGATACTAATTTCATTCAAAGTAATCTCTGACAGTTCGTACAGATAATGTCCAAAGCAAGCTGACTGGCTACAACATCTAAGCGGTCAACACTCTCAAATTTCGTTTGAATATTTCTGGAATTTATATCAACTTATATTCGTGCTGAGCGCATGCCTTCGACCAGCAATTAGCTGGCACAATCGTGTATTGATTCCAATGCACATGATGTGAAGAGAATGGCCACTTTCAACGTTAAGGTGAAAGATCTCTTCTATTATCTACCTTCATTAATTCAAACGAAATCCGCTGAAATCTGCAGATCTTTGCCCATAAGATTTAGGTCTTCTCGTTCTATAAAAGCAAAGCTTTGCTTTCCTAGAAAACGTGGAACGTACTTCTTCGACCTTTATTTTTTTCCCCGAGGCTCATAGTTCGAATACAAGGGCGATCAAACACGAGGGATTTCGTCCAGCACGACACAATGCCTTCAGTGTATTGTTCGTTTTGTGGTAGCAGTACACTGGTTGAAAACTTTAGGAATCAAAATTTCGTTTCCAATTTCTTAAAATTTTAATTCCTGGCAAATTTAAAACCGCGAATTTTTTAAAATTTTCTATTGCATGGGACGACACCCATCACATGTATCACACTCTGCGATTCCTAACACTTTTTGCATCCCATTCGTTTCCTCGCATTTATCTTCAACGAAGTCCTTGAACTTTTCTGTGTGCGGGTTCGGATACTGCTTGAGGACTTTCTCCTCTTCGTGAAGAACCTCGTTGAATGTTCATGGAGTCGATTCCTCCTAGCATCCTGTGATTGCGTGCTGAGGGGTTTCCATGTAGATTAGAGAGAACGATCAGCTTCCAAAAAAAATCTGATAACAACTTCCCGACCAGGCGTGATGGGAAATGTAATATATCCCTGATCTGTCTTTCTAACACTGAGCTTTTTCCCAAGACCGACTTTCTGTTAACCTCGGCATTAATTGATAATTCGATATTTTTCTTCAATAAGCAGACACGAGGTTGTTAATATAGAATTTATTACAATACAATAGCTGACGTTTCGGCGGTTTCGTCTTCTTCAGAGCTTGGAAAGCTTTTTATTCCTCACTTTTTGTATTCAACCGATAACCTACTGGTAGATGGCTCGAAAAACAAAGGCTTGCCACGTTAGACGAAATGCACGATTCTAAGAGAGACACAATGAAATATAGTGGGTATTCGAGAAAGTTCGTCCTAAGCGCTCCAAGCAACTGAAAATGAGCAAATGAAAATGAGGAAAATTTCTAAGCGAATTTTTTACCATGGTAAGCAAATCTCTCTTAGTCCAACAACCCTGACCTTATCATAGTGAGTAAACATGCTCCAGGAAGACAAATGACGACCTAATCGCAAGTATTGGATCGAATCGCCATAAAACGTGTCCTAATCGAACTAACGCCCGCCCAGTACCTTCTATGTCCAATAACAGGCTTCCACACTCCTCGCTCCTGAAATATCGCGCGGGAAAATTTGTGCACTACAGCGAAAAATGACTTCCCATTCAACCGAAAGCAAGGATAGAAGGGACGCGAAACCCTGCTTCATCCAACAATTCACGGCATAGTGCTGTGAAAACAGTAACGATCACTCATTGTATGGATCTAGGCCATTCTTGCATTCATTTCGTTTCCTTGCATCTATATTCAATGAAGTTCTTCGGATTTCCATGTGGCTTCGACACTTGCTTGAGTATTCTCTTCTGAATGTCATAGAATACTGATTGACTCGATTCTCCGTCCAATCCCGGGTTTGCCTAATAGGGCCATTTTTCGATCGCACTTCAGCATGCGGTGAAAATTAGACTTCATATGACAGCCAGCAACGTTTGAGCTCAGTGATTCAAACTAGATGGAGCTCCTAAACTATTTCAAAAATCCACTTTGCCTCAGAGGAAGTTATGATATGCCGTGTGCAAATGGAACCATTCAATAGAACCTTCTTCATCCAGTCTGAACGACCACAGAGCACAAGTACCGACCGCATGTCCATAAACTCTAGTACGTGATCACGCCGAACCGAACCACACATTGCACAATTCACGCTACAGAAGCTACTAGTAGAAATTCGTGTGAAGAGTCCGTCGTTGTCGTGAGGACTTCGAAAATCTATTTTATCAAAATAAATAATGTTGCGCCTTGTTGTCAAAAATGATGACTTCAAGGATGCTAAGATTTGACCAAAATTTGGAACTTCGACTTCAAGCCTACGACTACTCGTTCCGGGGGCTCTTTTGCTATCAACCACGCCAGCCGAGGCCCTTGCTTTCCTTTTCTTCAAGCCAGGTTTACACTCTAACGGTGCTGTCAGCAATCATCTGTCAACGGGAATGATCTGGTGGTATAAAGCGGCACTGGAGCCAGCTAAGCTGGTTATAGCATGTGCGCCTACGGAAAGGGTAATCGCAGGAACGAGGTTCAGCTGACGCTCCTAGTTCTGCTCATATCTCAGCAACTTTGTAGTTGCATTTCATATAATGGCCTGCCATAAAAAAAATAGGCAGGGAGTGAAATTGAAAATATCGCCTAGACTTTATTATTGCATAGTATACTTGATTTATACAGCTTTCTTGAAGCTGACATATTTATGTTTTAACCTAACATTTTACAGTCACCATAGGATAGTTTAATTTGAATGACTCCACATCAGCGTAAGCACACCTCGACTGACAAATTTTGAACCACTGCGCTACGATGACCACATAATATACCACTAAATATAATTTTTTAGATGTCAACACTAATTCAACTCAAAGATAACGTTTCTACCTGGATTGAAATGTCCAGGAGTAATACTGCCAAAGAATCTTTGTATGACAAAGAGGGATAAGCCTGATATCAGTGGATAGGAAGCAGTTCTAACAGCCGACGGTGCACTTGCCAAGTTCACTAAAAGAATTTCAAATAAATTGAGATCGCTCAATTGTAGTTCCCTTTCAGAGTGATTTTTCAGCTACAATTATTTTCGATCCATAACAAAGAAATATTCCTGTATTACATTATACAAATACGAATAAAATAAAGACGAAAGAAGTAGTTGAATCCTAGCTGACACAATTAATCATTTAATTTTTATTTCCTCATTGTACGGATAGCGCGCAAATGCGCTTATTTAGTTCTTTACATGGATACTTGGATGGCCTCTCCTCACCGGTTGTGCAGGCCCCAAGATAATTTCCATATCTCGGAGTTTTAGCGATTTTGCCATCGTAGCTCAATGAAGTCCCTAAGTCAGCCTGGACAAAGACCGCCCCAGGTCGTCACCATCACGGGGAGTTGCCACCTTTGTGGATCAGAAGATTTGCCACTATGTGATTAGTTTGGTACCAGGATAGTGATGGATCCTGGTATTGGTTCACTCTTAGCTGGGCTTTCTAGTGGTAACACCGGACTCCTTCTCAGCTTAGGAGACGCTGACGGGGAAGAATCCCCGCTGCACATCGCAGCCCGATACCTAGGGAACACCTTCCGGCCACGATGAGGCGAAAAACAGTTAGGAGGAATTCGCTTATTTAGTAAATAATATTTATGAGGACCATGGATCTCCCTCATATGAGGAATCTCCAGCCGGCTAGTCGCAAGGCTACATAGCGCATCCCCAGGTAGCGGGATAGGCGGTTAATCGCCGACCGAAAGCAACCTTTGCCTCACTGAGGAGCAGGTGGATCCAGGAGACTGACTACCTGCTATGAGAAAGATGTGAATAGAAAATGAAACTGCTCTAAATTTTTCTTCGAATCTAAAACCATTCCTATGTTTAGAATCGTGGCTAAATAATGATTACAAATAGAGTAATCACGAACCAAATAGTACGAACAGAGCAGTTCCAATTAATTCTCCAACAGCTGGCTGGATATACGCCCGGTAGAGAGTCTTCGTTTGAGCTTCAGCTTCTGTCGTCATGCGATCTAAACGAATTCAATTTGGTGTTGGTGCATAGATGAATTTGGCAGACCTAACCGAATGTGCTAGCTGGTCAGTTGATTAGGGAGTTGGTCGGATTTGCCTTTTGTCCACCAACTGTACGTGGAATGCTCGACTTTATATGAATTCGTCACACGGCACTTTTCTCCGTAACTACCTTGAACAACCTCGAGTTTTAGTTATAACAGTTTATAGCAACAACAACGATACAATAATAATGTGTGATATTTGACGATATGTAAGCTGGGTGGATACGAGCGACATTGAAATGAGAACAAGTGATACACTTGAGGGAAATTAGGCGGCCACTGGAGTTGGAGCGCTGAGGAACTGAGGGGCTGGAAGATAAGCACTGGTGTTGGAACTCAGGCACTGGTAGATTGGAAGACAGACACTAGTCTCTATGACTGCTGGTGCTCCTTATATTTTGTCTGTAATGGGTGGGGTTTTACAGAGGGAGTCAGAGATAGTGCTGATTCAGAGCATGGCATGGTACATGCGGAGCAGTACATCAAATGATACAGTATGCCAGAAGCTTCGTCAACATAGAACTTGAACAGATAGCGAAGGAATAGCTCGTAGAGAAAGGTTATCTGAAAGGCTACTCAAAGGCTTATCAAAAGGTCATGTGGGAGAAGTGGAATAGATGCTTACACAGAAAGCACATCGGAACTGCCCAAATCTTGAAAGTATATGCAGCTGGCGGCGGCTTATTCAGCGTCCGAATCAACGGGCAAAGAAGAGCGGAGGTACATAGAAGTTACAGTATTCCTTTCTAGTCCAACTGCGAGGCAAATGTTTGAAACGGTAGTTGAGAGACAATTTATAGAATATAAGAGAATAGATGTATAACGATTACAAGTAAAACAGTTATTGTAGAAGGCATAAGGTAACATAGAAATAGGAACTATTTAAGGAGTAGTTACTATACCGAGAGCCATGTATTCTTTAAAACTTCTGAAATAAATCGTTAGTCGATTACAGCTCGTAAAACATCAGTGCTTAATTTGGTGCAAAGCGTCTGGAACATAATATTCCTAAGCTTTCCGGTAAGGTCCCATTGTCGAACTCCAACGTATTACCTTTACCGTCAAAGCACCCCAATTTGACTTTCACCATTTGCGGCTGCATGGTTGATGAAAACAGGAAAGACGCTAACTTCCGTCTTGCATTCAGTTTCCGATTACGAGATCCTCACATGTCCACAGAAAAGCGTGTGAAAACTTCTGCGTCCGTTTCTGGTGCTCTCATCACAGACCGTAATGTAACTAACCATAACTGGACTGCAGAAGTACTAGCACACTTGTCAACGAATTGCGACTTTCTCAATGCGACGATGCTGCGGAAAACAAAGGGTCTTTGTTACCAAACGCTAGCACTTCTACAAATGTGCAAGGAAACAGAAATGTTATTTACCCCCAACCAACTGAACTATGAGGAAAACAAAGTGACTAAAAGCAAATCCTAGGTCGTTGTGCTAAGACAGTAATGCAAGGCAAATGCCAACCAATGCGTTCATCTCCTAGTACGAATGTGCTCGGTTGCCACGGCTACGTGGTTCAACCACGCTCTGTGCGGATAAGACTAGGTCTCCGAGGTACAGCTCGAGATTCTTCGTTTGTTAATGATCAGCTAACCAGATTATTTTCAATATAAACTGCTCATTGGTACAATGACAGAAATATGCAAATATTTTATGCCTTCAATGCAATCATTTCACATATTCAGTAATAATAAGTTAAGCGCATGCAGTTGCGTAGCAACCATTTGTAAGAAAATACAAGAAAGAAAGCATGCACTTTAGAGATATTACGGAAACATTTCTCACGAAAACTGTGCGACTAAATACCAGAAAAGTACTCGGACATAACTCTCACAGGTACACCAGGACAACTCAATTTCATATCAGTACGAACTTAAGGGATAAGAGAAAGTGCAACAATCTCTACAGATGTAGTTGAACGCTGCACCACTCCATAACTCTTGAAATGTGCAAGTAATCCCTATACATCTAATTATCAAGGTTGAGAGAGAAACCAGAGGACAAATCAGTACAATGGGTGGCAAATCACCGCATACCCATACTGTTAGACCCACGGGAGTGCTTTACTGGGTAGAGGAAGGACAGATGAGAAACGATGATGGAGAAGAGAAAATAAAATGAATGAATTAAAAACTGACAACTCGAAGTTCATATAACATATATGTCAACGCTCTTCGATAAAAATCTGCTCGCGGACGGGCCAGTTCAGTTCCGAAAATGTCTTTGACTCGTCCAACGTGGTGACCTATAGAAAGAATCATGTAATTTTTCAAAAAAAAAAAAACTTCCACAACGAAGTCTCTCTCACATCTTTTTTGGGAAAGTCTGAATTGAAGAAACGATAGTCCCTGACTGAAAAACCTTTTGCGGCAAGGAACTGTATCAACACAGATAACTTTTCTGACAAACGGAAGCGACGCACAACCTAAAATTTGGCATATAAATAGTGCAAAACCTAGTTTTACTGGTATAAACATACGGAGTTTCAAGCTGATTATCGATAATCAGATTATTTGAAGAGTTGCTACCTATAAAGGAAACTTCTATCTATCAACACAAAAGAGTAAATTTGATTTACCTTGGAAAGGCGTTTCATTCCTAAAACTTTTAAGAACTAGAATTCATAAAGGATAGAAAATAAAAGCCAACTCGTTAAATTTACTGAAGCAGCTACTAATGATGGATTCAGGACCACCACCGTGTTCTGCTACAAGAAATTAGGCTTTTTCAACAGCTTCATTTCACAAACAAGTTTCGATGGAAAAAAAACTCTTGAGCTCTATGAAAAGAAAAAATTATTGGACTTAATAAAAAAAATACCACACTCTCAAAAATATTTAGATTTTAAAAAATTCATCCCAACTAATAAACTTCGTCATGGGTTCGCTTGGTTAAAAACTGACTGCCTACACCGTATGTGTGTGAATTAATTCATGTCGATCTCCAAGGGTTAGTGCGAAGTAGACTGAAAGATCGTTTCAAAAAGTGAATCGTTATTACATACTTGGTCACTTCCTGGCAAGCGGAACTTTACCATTAGAGTATTTCTTTCATCTAAAGCAGGTTCATCTGGCAACTGGCTTGCCAACAATTGACGTCTAAAGGTAAAATGAAATATAACGAATGACAACTGCTACACTTCAATACACTGAGTTAAATATATAATTGGAAATAAAACATGCTTTATTTCCAGTTCTTCAGCTTCTCTTAATCTTCTCTCCTCCTCTTCTCGTTGCTCCTTAATCTCACGCTCTTTGGCCTGCATTCGCGCTTTGTCTGCTGCTAATGACATTTCGTACCTGCAAAGCAGGCCTTGTGTTTTATGTTTTAAATAAGGTAATTACTTAAGCAGTAAGGTAAGTATACGCATCAATGACTGATACTGAACATGCCGTTCAAGAAAAAATTTCCTACAACTCTTACTCCTACAACAAAAAAAGAATACCCCAAATACGGAGTAGCTCAGCACTCGAAGAAACAGAACAAATTCGTACTCATGTGCTTGCTCTTGTCGAATACGCTCCCTCTCTAAACGTGCTGCCTCTTCCGCCTTCTCATTGTTTCGAATAGATGTGTATATGTCTATACCAGCCATTAGTTTCTCCATGACGATATCTGCACTATCCATACCTAAACATTAAACATGCGATACCTAATTGGTAAAAAATAACATGTTCCCTAACTTTAAGCCCAACTGATAAGAGATATTCCGAAGGGAAGAAATACACAGCTCAATTACAAAGGCACTATGCAGGAATATACACTTAGTCAATCTGTCGGCCTCTCCTAGTGATCCTACAGCACGTTTCTACACGATACCAGAATTATTCCCTATCTTTTACTGCTTGCTTTGCAAACCTCTCTCGTTCAGGTCAACAAAAACTCAACCACAATGATGCTGAGATATTTGCAAAACTCCGGACCACAGATGTCTGCAGTGGGGAACGAACGCGCTATTACCCATTCCGTGGCTGTCGCGTTAACCACCACAACCTGCGGCTAATTCGTTACGCCTATCTTTCAGCTTCTTCTATCGATCACTGCCATCAGCAATCACCCATCAACGGGATTGATGTGGGGAGCACAAATCGACAATGAACCCAGTTAAGCTGAGGGTGTAGTCTAAATCACAATGTTAACTTTTTTATTTACTGCCTATTACAATTCTTCACGGTTCTACAATGAAATTCGTTCGTTCCCCACCGTAGACACCTGCGGTCCAGAGTTTTGTGAATATCTTAGCATCATTGTGGTGTGAGTCACACATAATACACTGTCGTGAAAAATTGCAATACGAAGTAAATAAAGAAGTTAACAACACAAACTGTTGGTTTGAAAGTTTGACACAAAGGCTCTGAGCTTTATATAACTGTAATAAACGTATATAAAGACGTAAAACAATCCGCCCTAGGGTCGAATCCGACAAGTTGCTCAGTCCGCCTTTTTTCCAGTTGTGACAACTACACCAATTCTGAGATGTTAGTATAGAACGATTACTAACATTAATCGAACGTCTCTTAAATTATGCCGAACAGAATAATCTTCCATAACAACTGTGACAGACCAAACAGTAAAACAACTGTTTTCAAACCCACCGTCATTTAACCTCGGTACTATAATAATCAACGTGTATTTGTATCGCTTAGCTTTCACGAGGTTGATAAATTGTTTTTATTTGGCTAGCGTATCAACGTCTTCGTCTTCATTAGAGCCAATCATCCGAGTCGGTGGGCCACAGTTTATATAACAACAAATGTGACTACCGACTCGGATTATCGGTTCTGATGAAGAAGAAGATGTCGATACATTAGCCGAATAAAAACAATGTATCAACCTCGTGCAAACTCAACAATTTATACAAACTGTGACAGAATTTAGGTACGTCTCTACAAATAATTCACCGATCTTTACGCATTTCCCTTGAACGCAATTGCTCCAGTTGAGCGATTCGCCATGAGCGATCGCAAAGCTAACGATAAAATCAATTCCCACACAGTACCACAGCATGGTGGAGGTCTCGAACTGCTGAATAACCTTCCGCATATATATGTCTTCTACCCTGTACAGCTTTTCGCATGTGAATTTGCCGTCGGACACCTGATACAGCGGATAACCAAGAACGTGAATCCGTCTTCAATCACCGCATTATAACGAATCGAGATGATGACTTCACGTGAAAACGAAACAATTCGGGTGTTCATCAACTCAAAAAAAATGAGAAAATTGGTACACCGCAGTAAAGAACGACAATAAACTAAATAGCGCTTATAAGTCATAAGCAAATCACTCCGGCAGTCTTAAAGTGCAACACGGCCATCTGGCGATGCGTTGTTCTACAAAGTAAAAACGATATTCTATCAGCAAGAAGAAAATGAAGATCTACGCTTTTGCATAAACTGACACATCTCACTACGAAGCTGTGAGACATATCGCTAGTCTGCGGTTACATTGGTACCACTTTATGTCCTCAGTAACTAAAGGGGTTATGAATTAAAGATGAATTTCAAATGCTTTACATACGTAGATACATGTATAAGTACATATAAATATATATGTACATATATATGTATATACCACAGTGCTCTTTTAGTTTCAACGTAATCCGTATCCGTTTCTATAAACGGAGAAATACATGACCAAGAATCAATCTACCATTAAATCGCCTAGGCTAAAATTCTTATTAAACAAAATAGCTATATACAGAACAGTACAACATTAAAACTAACCATAACAGATATCACTGATATTGTATAAACCATGATCCTTTGTAATAATTACAAGTAGAGGGAATTTCTCCTTGTCATAAATCACAGAATCAAGTGAGCGACGAATGTCAGACATCCCAACCAACTCCAACCATTGCAGAAGCTTTAATTCGTTCTCCCTTAAAATTTACAATCATATTCTAAATGCTATTTGAAGAATTATTTTCTCCAGAACAACGAATATTTGTCAACAAAACCACACTTTCTCCAAAAGTCTGCCGAATTTTCAGCTGTAACATATAGTGCACCCAGAAATCACTGGAGACCTGGTGACAACACAATCGTATCGTGGTAAACTTCCTTCCGATCCATGAAGGACTCGGATTGAATATGAGCATGAGGTCAGAATGCCATGGATCGCTGACCGGAAACTTCAGGAAAGAAAACATACCCAAGAAGTTAATTTTCAATCCTATTGATATCGTGTTGGAGAAAATAGGTTTATCCATTAAGATCGGTACTGAGAAAGTATATAAACACACCTATGAGTAACATCCCACGGCCACAAGATGTACTGACATCTCAGTAAGTTGCTCACTGCATCACTGCACAAAACCTTAAAGATGAGAATACAGCATGGTAAAGACAAGAAGAAAAAAAACTGAAGTGGATATCCAGTAAGAAAGCATTTACTTTTGACGGAAAAATATTCGCGGCAATACTGCGATCATGATGGATATACAGCGCTAGTGGACGACGTTCTGAGACACCTCTGAATGATATCGTAGTAATGTATGAGAACCTCAAATTCAAATGTAACTGCCAACTGACTAGCGTACGGACTTTAAAAAGGACTACCCTGGTGTTTCGAAAGCCTCTCTTATGGCTTCAGGCAGTGATCCAGTGAAGAAAGACGGAATATGGCAGCCTACACCAGAAAACCTGAATATAGAATGACGATTAATATAGTATTAACATGGTGAACAGTTACAAACATTTTGTTAAATGAGGTGATAATAACGACAATAAAAAATTTTTCAGGATGAGGCAATAATAAGCACAGATACTTTATTATGGAATCATTGATGACAAAAGTAATATTCCAACAATGTATTACATCTCGTAGAAAACATGTAGTGCAGTGGTTGGAGGCGTCCTTCAAAACACATGGAATCGAACCCCGTACCCAAGGCTCATCAAGCCTTACACCTCTTCGGGGTTGCCAAATTGTTACCGGAGTTGGCTGGGATGATAACACCACTTGCTCGATAAATCGGAAAGCAGCCACGAGTCATTGTAGAGGCCAGATATGCATTCAGTCACCTCCAGCGATGCTTAATGAAGTCGAATTCACGGCGCAGTCCTCAGGAATTGATTAATGTTGATAGCTTTATCCTTTTTATCTACTATTACATATCGCGAGCACAAAATTCTACTCATCCGTAACCGATATTTGTGCGCAGCACTACTGTACAATCATTTCTACCACAGATTTTCACTGATTTTCTGGCTGGTATTTTTAAAAAGCTCACCTTGATTCAAATACCACCACAAAATTTTGAAGGGCTTCGGTGACGCTTCCACATTCTGTTGGGATTAAAGGCAAACTGTTAGAAGAAATCTAAAATAAGTAGGAAAAATACGTCGTTATCTTTCAGCTAAACAACCTAGAATTAGAACAGCCGCCTCGTACAGAGTTATGCTCGTTACAATCGATGTCATCAGGTTCGTTAATTGGATACGTATCATCGTCATCCGATAACATAAATTCTCTATGCATTGTGTACCCATTTCGAGGACGATGAGATGGCACAACAGATGACGAGGGACGAGATAATTCCATGTCGACAACAGTAGTGTCATCTAAAATCGATAATTTAAACAAAACGACAACATTAAGATTCAACTTTGGACAAAAACCAACAGATATAACCGGTGCAAAGCCACACACCTCCATCTAGTTCAACGGATGTTTGCCGTCCAGCACGTCGATGATACCTACGGTTATTCAGAATTCCCATCACTTCCATATCATCTTCATCAACACTGGCTTCGCCAAATTCCCTGAAAGAACGCTGTTTAAAGACATTTCTAGAGGAAAATGAATATAAAGAAAACAGCAAATTTCAATGGGAAAATAAACCTTTCCATATATTTTTTAGACAAGAAAAAGGAATTTAATCCCTTTTCAATACTTTAAATTAAAAAAAAACACTTCCCTATGAAATGGAAAAATAAATATTTTCCCCGCAATTCCTCTCAACAGTTCGCCGCCTCATCGTGGGATGGAGGTGTTCCTAGGTGTCGGACTGTGATGTACAGCGGCGGAATCATCCCCTCCAGCGTCTCTCAAGCTGAGAAGGAGTTTAGTGTTTCCACCAGAAAGCCCACCTAAGAGTAAACTAATACCAGGATCGGATCCCGTCCTGGTATCAAATTAGTCGCATAGCGCTGCTTGATCCACAAGGGCAGAGACTGCCTGTATGGTGACGACCTGGGGTAGACTTTGGCCAAGCTGACCTCAAAACTTCAAGGAAACACCGTGGCTAAACGAGCAAAACTCCGAAAATGGAGATTAGCTGGAGAAAAATTGAAAAATGAGCTATGGCCTGCACAACCAGTGAGGACGGGCCGTCCGAATATTCAAGTAAGTATCTTCGCAATTTTAACTGCTGCAGATGAGTAAAAAAGCAGATTATTAAGAAAAACAGCGAAAAAATATTATGGCAAGACCGAAAAACACAGTCTTTGGTAAAGTTCACAGTCGTTGTGATCACCAACGGAAATCCATCGTCACAAATCAACAAATTCTTCATAAAAAAATTTCTTCTGCGAAATAAATCTCTCTAGGGTTAGTATTTCCTTTCTGCAGAGATTACGGTTCTCTTAACTCCTAAAATTAGCAGGAGAGGGCGAGAAGCTGAGTGGTAGCCAATCAAAATATCGCTCTTATTTTCCAATATAAGTACAAGCCACTTTTGTTTCCCTTTTAAATTTACTTCAAATTTGAATGCATCTCTTAAGTCGACATTTTCTAATCCTGAAAATGCGCACGACTTAAGTGTACGATATTAAGCTGCACAAAACTTACGCTTCCCTCTACCTGTAGAGACAATCAATTGTTCAGAGAATAAACTAGGATTAATTAAATTAGTTAGCTACAAAAATATAAAATTAAGTTCCCCACAAAGCAACTCACAAGTGCGTTAAACGTTATTGTCAAAAAAATGTTCGCTTAATTCAACTACAACGTCAACCGTTAACGCATGCCCATTAAAATAAGGATTTCAACAATGTCTGATTCAGTGGAATAGTGTTTTCGTTCGTTGGGTTTCGAGAAAACCAGAAGTTAGACGTTTCGTTGGTGCTATACGCAAATAATTTTAGTTGTCTGCGAAAATTAGTTGCAGCCCTTATGCATAGAAGCGCAGTGCATAGAAGCGCCATGCAATACATATGCGTTCAACTCCACGTTCCAGGCGCACCAAGCCTTCCATTTTTCCCTTTCTTTTCCAGGTTGTGCAAATTGATGCCACACACGTCAGGGAGAATAGCAGCGGTTACAACAAATGTCATTAGGCCATCGTGAGTCATATAGGCCAGATGTGGATCCAGCCAACCCAAGCGATGCTTGATAAAATCGAATGCACGGGGCATCCCTCACGGATTGACCAAGGCCGAAAGCTTTATGCTTTTTATTTACAGAAATTAAAAAATATAATCTACACAATCCATAAAAAACATATAACCCATAATGTACAGTCCCAAACCCAAAGGTTTACCGCCTCATTGTGGCTAGGAGATGGCTAAGAGAGTGCTACCGTGTGTCGGATTACAATGCATTGAGGAGGAAAGGAGGGCGTTCATCGCCGAGCAGGATCTTCCAAGCTGAGAAGTGCGATGTTTACATCTGGAAGCACAGCTAAGAGTAAACCAATATCAGTAATCACCACCTTTCCAGTAATAAACTAGTCGTATGGTGACAAGTTTCCTTTGACCCACAAGAGCGGCGACTCCCTGTGGTGGTGGTGACCAGAGGAAGGTCTCGGTTAGGCTGACCTCGGGACTTCAGGGAATCACAACAGCTAAACCAGCAGAATTTCAGCCTCAGTACCGTACGTACTAAACGTTACCGTCTACGACGGTGACATAACCGGTAAGAGGCGATTAAATCTCGAGTTCAAAAAGATGTTATCGGAAACGAACAAAACAAGCACGCCCATGACATGCCTTGGAGACTGCTCCTTGCTCTGCACCTATAACGCCAGAACACTTTTCAGACGCCAACATTTACGATCTTCTTGATGCCGAGGACCTCTGCAAGTTCCACGCCATCGCCCTGTGAGAAACGAAAAGTTTAAAGACAAATATACGCCAATTAAATGATGGAACTATTGCCACTGGTGGAGGGAAATTCTCATTACAAAATGCCGGAGGTGCGATTTTATGCTTTGTCGTACACCCATCTATTTTCCATCAAGTCACCTCATATGGAATCCTGTCACCACGCTTGATCATTCTTCATCTCCAACTTGCGCGTAGAAAGAATGTTAATATTACCAACTGCTACTCATCGATTTGCACTTGGAGGAGGTAGTCCGCAACGGGAAGTTCTATAGATTTGATGTTTCGCAGTGGATACGGAAATTCGGAATAGGGAAACGAAATGAGAATGGGAACCGTCTTGTAAGACTAATGTCCGCTATCAGTGGATGTGGGAGTCTCCTAACGGCACGACTCATGCGGAAATGGATAATAATCTCACCACTCTCTGATACTTCAGTGGTACATGGATTTTGTGCTGAACCTAAACACCGTTTTCTTCGGACGAAAATTTCCTAGGCTGCTGAACTCCCCTCACCGTCTAATAAGAACGAAACAAGTCGTGAATATCGAGGATATTTTTAATAAAATTCTCTCATATAACTGGCAGATAAAGGAGAACCCGACCGAAGACCACAAGCCTAGAAGTACGTAAAACCTGTGCCAAACTCACAGCGGTTCGTCAAATAAGAAGTTCAGACCACATTCTCATTAGCATTAAGTAGTTGCTCGAAAAGAGGAGCAGACTGAAGTTTGATCCAACTGCAACACACCTAACACGGCTGAGAATAAATATCAGCTGTAGAAGATCTCTGGGTGAGGATTTATATCGGTATAGGAAGTTGTCAGAACCAACTCAAAAACGATCTAGTCTGAAGAATTGCTGTCAGGATCCCTGCAGCTACAATGTACCGCTATCGGCAGTGACGAACGAAGATGGACTACCACCACATCACGTCATGATGTATAATTAGTAACGGAAAAGTTCTATACTGACTCGAACTCCAAAATCCCCGGTGGTGATAAACCGCTCGAGTTTCTACTCCCTGAAATTCGAGTTGCGATGGAAAGCATGAAGACGGGCACATATCCAAGATTCCATAACATCACCGCCGATTTCCTTATGACATATTAACTTCACAAGGAGAGCATCTTGGACCGATCGAGGGCATTATGCAGTCATCCTGACCAAAATTACCGAATGGATTTTCGCAATTATCGTCTATTATGCTTGTTGAATTTACTCCACAAGCTGTTCACGGAGATTACACTGTCGCGCATATCGAGTACACTAAATGAAACAGAACCGCTTGAGCAAGCAGGATTTTGAAATAGCATTTGACAGTGCCGAAACGAATGCAATCCTATCCGCACTCGACGACCAAAGAATGACCCGTCCTGAATACGAATAATAGATGACTATTATCGGAATTTCAGCAGAAATACACAGCTTTTTCATCGACCCCTCACTATACCTAAAGGAAAAGGGGTTCCGAAAGACAGCACAATATCGCAAAACCCGTTAGTTAAGGTGGATAATGAAGTAAGTCGATTGGGACAAGAAGGGCACACGTACTGATGGAAAATATCTATTAAATCTTCGTTTTGAGGACGACGTCACCATTTTTTCGAGGAGTGCAAGTAAAGCAGAGACGATGCTAAATGAGGTCAATGAAGCGGAAAAAAACATTGGACTACGCATAGATCGAACGAAGATCCAGTTCATGAGGAAACAATAGTGCGAAGGAGAACAAACAGATGGTTCCCTGGTTACAGAACCACCTCTTACGTATAATGTCAACGTTCAACGAATATGCAGAAAAACATGAAGGAGAAAGAGGAGAGCCGCATGGGCTGTGTTTGGGTCCCTTTGGGAAGTCATCAGCTAACTAACGGACCAAAAATTCCGCGTTCACCTTTTTAATTCAACAGTCTTCTGAGCGCTCTGTAGCAGACATGGGTTGGTACTTCTACCAGTTCAAGGAATCCGCGCTCCGCTCACAGAATGTTTGAACGATGTCTTCCAAAATTTAACATACACGGCACTCAGAACGCCAAGTTGGAATAAGCAACTCAGATACTCGGAACCTATGCCATCATGGGCATCCAAGAGAATATTCATTGATAGCGAAACACAGGTGTGCCGATAACATAATAAGAACAGATAAAACATGAAGAAACAGTGGAATGGACTTCAAGAGAATGCAAGCATCCTCTGGAAAAATAACCCAAGCGATGGGCGAACGCGTTCGTGGTTAACGTCATCGATCCATATTCGCATGTGCAAACGCTTTCAGAACCTCAGAATGGGCCTTACCGACGTGATCATGTCGAAGCACAGCACCACCGTGGACCACGACTGCGAGAGAGAGGAATAAGTGGAAAATATGCTCGGGTCCGCACCATTAGTGAGGGCTGGTCAGCAAAGCATCCAAATAAGTAAAACGATAGCAACAATAAGATAACCCAGAACCCAATTTTCTAAACTTGCAGCCTCTTCCAACGAAAGCAATGATAAACACCGCAGTGCACTTTGTGCGCCCTCTAAAATTTTTTCTAATACAGTTGGGCAAATTAGATAACTAGGTTTAAGTTGTGCAAACTGCTGAATCGAACAATCAAAAGAACCTAGAAAGCAAATTACCACAATGTCAATCACAGTTTGCTAATTTCCTAACATAACGTGGAAAAAATTTTCACTAAGATCCTGTAAACTATAAATAAAAGCAATTCTAACCCTAACGATGCCGAAATATTTGCAAAACTCCCGACCGTTGCTCTCTGCGATGGGGAACGAACGCGATATTACCCATTCCAGGGGTTAACGTGTTCACCATCACATCATGCAGGTCCTTCGTTTGGCCTGTCACTCAGCTAGTTCTCTATCTACCAATGCTATCACCAGTCAACCGTCAACGGGATTGATCTCAGTAGCGCAAATCGTTTGATCCTCACCGCAGACACCTGCGGTCCCGATGTTTTGCAAATATCTCAGCATCATTATAGTTGTAATTCACATAATACCCTGACGTGAAATATTGTAGCAGCCAGCGACTAAAAAAAATTAGCAATGTGAAAAGCAATTCCGTTCAAAGAAATGGACATAACTACTCACGATAACTCTCGTCGGTGATTCTTCGCAGGTGGAGGCAGTACCTCGACATCAGGTCCAAGGACTCCATCTCCACACAGATACGATTCTATGGCTTGCTCTAAGTTCCAACCCACGGACTCCAGTCTGGCCGCAGCCAAATCGCGTTCCGCTACATTAGTCACCTCCTAAAAGCTACATGGAACTTTACCAATACACCTGGTAAACGATTATGAAAAAGTATGTACCTGGAACTGCCGAAGCTTCTCCGCTTGATCTGGTAACAATTCCATTTCCAAGTGTGCAATTCAGTAGCGAGTGAAGCCTCCTTCACGAAAACTTATCTTAAAATGAATGATGACCGATAATATGCTCTCTAACTAGTAAAAATACAATTACGATGAACAAATGATAAGGTGAAAAAGAAGAAGAGAAGAAGAGAAATAGAGCGTAAACAAGTGAGGAAACGAGACTGGATTCTATGTCATCCATTCGGCCGGGGTTTCCGTGATGCGTGCGCACTTTGCGGAAAACACACCCGATCGATCGCCACCAGCTGATTACAATCCTCGACCACAAATGCGGACGGAGTCGGGAAACCCCTAGACAGCTCAGTGACCCAAATCCATGGTTAGGTCACATAGCTGAAGAGGGACTGACAACTGTAGAAAGCTGCGGTGACCGATTTCGATCGAGACTTTTCTTTGGAGGGTTTTTGAAAACCACTCGTCCCAGCATACACCTTATCTTGAAATTCGTCGCTCCGAAGGTCCCTGTGACTATGCAGTGGTCATAGAATAAGCCATATGTATAAGAGTCAGATGCAACAAATATGATGCCTATTTACATAAGAATTTGAGCAGCTTCTCTGCATAAATCGCGGAATCCCGAAAGTCCCAACACCATTTTGGCAGTGATTTCCTAGTTGGTAAGGTAAGAAAACAATAAGTATAAACATTATATGGGAATAGATGGGTGATGTTCTCGAAGAAGAAAATATAAAGATACGGAGTCGCTGCGTGCTGGCTGATGTCTGACCGACTGCCGCGGATCCATTGCCATCACAGAAGATCAGAATGGATACCAATAGAATAATAGCTTTGCTGGACGAAAGTGTATCGTCGAGTGACGAAATTTCATCCAAGCGATGTTCCGACACAGAACATTGGGTTGGATACGACTACGAGGAGCCAAATAGTGAGTACGAACGACTCGTCGACCATCGACGAGGATCATCAAAGCTCTGAAGAAAGTCAGGGGACCAAAACGGTTCCTGTGTAAAACATTTATAATAACCCCGTGATAGTTTAGTAGCCTAACAAAATAGAGATCAGAAATGGCTTATATGCAGAGGTGTTCTTACAGAAGGATTCACACTGCTGACAAAATGAAATGACCGGCTTTAAGGCGGCGCAGTGGTCGGAGGCGCTCTGCGATACACATGGGATCGATACTTGTGCTCCAGGCCCACTAAGCCCTCCATCTCTCCGGTGTAGGTAAATTGTTACCAGACTTGTCCAGCAGAGCGGGAAAGTAATACTAACTCAATACATCGGTAGGCCATCATGAGTCATTGCCAAAGCCAGATATGCATTCAATCACCTCCAACCATGCTTAGTGAAGTCGAATGCATGGCGCATCCATCAGAGATAGATCAACGCCGAGAGATTTATACTTTTATCTTTTTAAAGTGGTTGAAACGAAACCCCTGTGTTGCTTTGGTTCTCGTGTTTACCTGCAAACAGTCAACACCCGTATTTCTCTGGAGTTGAGCAGTACGAGCCGGGTTCTGACAAAGTACCCACTACTTGACAGTACGGCCTCCACATTTCTTCCCTGTTTTTGTTATTAAATCATCTTCAGTTTTCAGTCTATTCCTTGCAGAGGAATTGTGGAGCTGAAAGAGAGCAGAATGGACTCCGTTTGAGTCACCGGAGAAGCCATCGATCAACTGACCGACCCAAATCCCTGCGCTCACTTTTTTAGCTAAACAGACGTTCCAACTTCTTGCAATGCAGCTGAAACGTGTGTTAAATGACTAAATCTTGTCAAGACACCACCTTTAAAAATCTTGGACGATGTTTCAAAACCGACTTTCCTTTAAGCTCAGTGTGACTAATCAATATGTATTCTTTCTTTGATAAGCTTACACGAGGTTGATAAATATGTTTATTTTCGGCTAACGTTTCGACTTCTTCGTCTTCATCAGAGTTGATAGTCCGGGTTGATAGTCCACGCTTGTTCTTCGTCTCGATGTGGCGTCTTCGCCTTCGTGTTTAGTTAGGTCTTCCTCAACGCGCCACCTACTCGAATGAGGCATACTCACTCAGTGATGCCCTTTAATTAGGATGCTAATGGTGGATTGTAGTGATTATGCGGTGATAACAACTTGTTTTTCCTCCGGACATTCCATCCTGCAGAAGTCAGTGTGATTATCAGCTAGTACAAAGCGCAACAGGTTAGTCATTGATTAGTCACACTGAGGTCAAAGGAAAGTCGGTTCTGAAATATTATTACGCTTTGTACTAACTGATAATCACATCGACTTCTGCAGGATAGAATGTCCGAAGGAAAAACAAGTTGTTATCACCGGATAGTCATTACCAACCACCATCAGCATCCTGATTAAAAGGCATCACTGAGTGAATATGCCTCATTCGTGGAGGTGGCCCATTGAGGAAGACCTGACTCGATACGAAGGCGAAGACGCCAAATCGAGACGAAGAACAAACGTGGACTATCGACCCGGATCCTCGACTCTGATGAAGACAAAGACGTCGAAACGTTAGCCGAAAATAAACATATTCATCACCCTCGTATAAACTTATCAAAGAAAGAATACATCTTGAACTATGTCATCTGATAATAGTTCCCAGGATCGACTTTCCATTAACCTTGACATTGGAATATATACCAGTATACCTTTACAGGCTCTGAAGAAGGCGATACTGCCGGAACGTTAGCTAGTGCTGTATTGTATTGTGTTTTTCTATGGAATTAAATGTATGCTGTTTAAAAACCTCACGATTGCTGAACAAGAAAACGACGCATTCATATGTCATCTGGAATATGGCACGCGCTAAATCAAGCCTACAACGCAAAGCAGGCTTTCGAATACTATCTCATTACCTGACCTATGAGAATGTCTACGAAGCATCGAAAGAGAAACGTGGATAAGACGTTGCTTTCTTGAGAAATCACGAGGTTGGTATTACAGCATTTGTTAATACAGAATAACTGACGTTTCGGCGACTTCGCCCTCTTCAGAGCCCATTATTCCCCTGAAAAGGTGATCCTCCAACTGGACGCAATGGTATTCCTTCGACTCGCATTTCTTCAGTTGAGCGTGCATGTTGTTTTGCCTACGTCGAGGGGAGGGACGTAGTGGTCGCAGTTCAATGTCCAGTACTTGGTTGCCGTCCTCTAATAGATCGCATACATCGTGTATTCATTTTTGCTCGACGAAACTCGGCACGACTTGGTATTTTTGGCAGCGGTGGAGAAAGTACATTTTTTTTGTCTATCTACTGCCTTAACGACAGGACTTCTACTACACGTCAGAAGTATTCTGTTGGTACTTCATGTAAGGAATCCCAGAGCTGACTTCCTGTTAATCTGTATTAATAAAGATAATAGAAGGATAAAAGATAGAGCTCTCGGCGTTCATCAATCCCTTAGGGATGCGCTAAGCAATCGGCTTCATTGAGCATCGTTTTGAGGTGATTGAATCATGTCTTGCCTTTGCAATGACTGGCCATGGTCTACCGATATATCGAGCCAGTGCTGCTTTCCCCCCAGTCAAGTCTATACCAATTTGCGGTGGGCCATGGGCGCCGAGATCGATTCCACGTATGTGTTGCTGGGCGCCTCCGACCACTGTGCCACACGTGTCCTTAATCCTTATCAACAGAAGCTATAATACTAACCTCTCGTTTCTTCATCAAGAGAACAGTAAATTAGTTGATCTGTGTCGGTTTTGGATTTAATAAGGCGGTGGTATAACGTGAGTGGTTGACAACAGCGAAACTAAAAAACGATGGATGAAACCCAAGAGATTTCGTGAGCCCTCCCGAATCACCACCTAAAGAATGTGGGAAAGCGTTTGTAACTTAGATTAAACCCTTGTATTTGTAGCTGCAAACGTTTTATGGACTTCAAAATGACACTCGCAGTCATCACTATGGTCGAAACAGACCATCACTTTGGATGGGGACCGCGAGGGAAATAAACGAATGGAAAGTGTATTAGAGCCCCTTAGACTCATGAAAACGGTCAGTCCAAGTATACGGCTAGGAGTTTCTGAGCAAGTGAATAGCAATCTGCTTCATGTGAAAGTAACCATGCATTTCGTTTAAAAGATAATCGCTTTTACAAAAAAGTAGAACGATTGAGTGGTTTGTAATTATTTTTATCTCTTTTGTTGCAACGTTTGATTATGACATGGAATTCCTAGACTTTTGCGATGAGTCTAGGATGCTCATATTTTCTAAGGTTATTAAGCTAGCACGAGCGTGGTATCAGCCTTTATTCTGCCTGGGTTTCAACGTCTTCTTCAGAGCCGGATTGATTCTAGTTGATTGCCCTCAGCAGATCGTCATGACGATATGAATTTTGAAGCACTCTTAGATCATTGGATGGTCCACCTTCACGTGTCGTGCGATTCTCGCCACTTCCCCCCATTTTCATTGTTTCGCACTTTTCAACCATACGGTGCTCACGGTGGCTTCAGCTGCAACGTGTGGCACTGTTATCGTCTCTCATTAGCACGCTAAATGATGGTCGAGGACGATTTCCCTATAGAACAAGTACGGCCGAGCTTGAGTGTTGTCAGAGAGGCGCCATTAACATCTCACTATGTGAATCGGGAGGAAATATGCAGTGTTGCTGCCGTGGTCCTTCAGGGTGACAGTGATTCCTGTGATAGCGGAGAGTCCTACGATTAATGGAATGACCGCTCCAGAAAGATGTAAACAGCTGAATCGCAACCAGCCACTATCACAGAACTTCTAGTGATTCGAACTGTTTAATTCCTTCTATTTCCCATTCTTTATAACAACATGGGAAAAACAGTATCCTCGGTCGGTTGCACACCTGTTTCTACTTCTTTGCAGAATAATGAATCCATAAACATGCCTTACTCCGTCGTACTTTCCGCCTCACAGTTCGTGGAAGTGGGTAACATATGAGCACAAAAAATGTGAGGATTTCAAAGAAGTACAATATCTTAGAAGCAAATTTTATACTACTACTAGTGAGGGAAAGCGGGTGTGGCGCAGTGGCTGGAGGCGCCACT